GACATTAGCCCCCCCAAAATGTTAATTCCCCCTCCCCCCCCCCCCCCCCCCCACTGTGAATAAAGAGTCTGTCTGTATATTGTTGGGAAAATGTATTTGAACTGTGAACTGCAATGGAGCAAATAAATGCTGTGTACAGCATCAGTGTGTCATGTGAACCAGTGTTTCACCTTTGAGAGATTATGAGTTTGCTTGATTTGGGGATTGTTTGCAATATTTTTACAATGGGGAAAAGGGGACAGATGAAGAGAAACAAAGAAAAAAGCAAAAGCCCAGCCAAGGATTCTGAAAGGTTGTGGAGAAGACAGTAGAAAGAGACAGACAGGAAAGTACCTCAGAAAGGGAGATTTGGGGGGAAAAAGCAAGAAGGGAGCATGTGGGAGTCATTACAGATAGGAAAGAGGAGGAGAGAGATGTTTGAAAGCAACCCCCCATTCCTACTGCAGCAGCACTTTTAATCTGGGGGCAGGGAGAAGAGGAGGTTGGGCCTGGAAATGGGGAAAAAGTGGGGTGTTCAAAGAGGATTACAGCCCATCAATATGAGTACTGATGCCCTTCACCATAGCACTGAACCAGGGGGGTTGCTGGAAGGTCGATGTGACACTGCCCAAAGAGGACCCGCACTGCAATTTGCCGGGTGGATGGTGTTGACTATCTATTCCCAGGTGCAATACTGCTGGGATTAGGACATCTGCCTCAACTTTGAAAGTGCTTGGAGACAGCTGGCACCAACAACATGTCCTTCCAGTTTCACCCTTGCCAGCTGAGCACACCCATCAGACTGCGATCGCGGAGGACCCACCCTGCTACTGCTGGCACTGCTGTTGCCCTGGCCCAGTGTTCACCTTCTCACTCCCCAAACAGTAGAGGAAGAGCTCCCCAGGAACTTGCTAACAGTGGTGCTAGTGTTTGGTTCAGAGCTCATGTGCCTCCCAAACCCCACGGCTCTGTCCCTGTGCACTCATCCCTAACAGCAATCCTCCCCGATCGTCTGTCCCAAAACCTCATCCAGTCCCAGCTCTGGTTCCCGCTGTAGCACTTTCTGCTGCAGCTCAGAGTAGAAGCCGACTCCCTCAGAGACTGAATGGAGGGGCTTGGCTTGGGGCTCATAGTAGCTGCTTATTTGCTGCTGTACGAAGCACTGGTGGTGCTGAGGCTGATCCTTGAAGCTCCCATCGTAGCCCTTGATGTGGTTCCTTTTGAACTCCAGCACTGTCTTGGTGTAAGTGTTGAGAGTGGTGACAGCAGAGGCCATGCAGCAGGTGAAGGAGGCCCAGGCCATGCTACAGGAGAGATACAAGAACAGCACATGCTGTGAGAAGTCAAGAGGGTAAGGAATTAGCTGTGTGCATCGTGATGCGCCCTGATTTGCCAGGCAGAAGCTGCTGAGCATGGACATGAACTAGAAAGACTAAGGCTCATAACATTACAGTTCTTAGGGGTTATCCCACCACAGGCTCTTTCTTAGATAAGTGGGGTAAATACTGGTCATCCTTGTCACAGGGAAGGGAGGGATACAGGGAGAACAAAAAGGGCAGCAGGAAAGTCTGTAACTAGTCAGAGCAGGACAGCACAGCTTGGAAGCAAGTTCTGTATTGCAGGGCTGCTCAGTGTCTTCCTGGACATGAGGCATGTCTACTTGAGCATAACCAGGTGGCCACGTTGACATTTGACGTCCACATGGGTGCATGGCCCTGCAGTGTTCTAAGTTTTAAGAATAAATGTGGTCATCGTCAGCACAGCATTGCAAATTGAGCCTGTGCTTTCCATGGGCACATGCAAGGCTCATCCAAATGTTTTTCGAGTCAGTTATGGCATATCAGCTGCAGCTGGCTTCTTTAGCCTTTAGAGAAAGGAACTCTGAGCCACCTGCTTTTGGCAGCTGCTCTTCCTGGCTACAGTGTCCACATCTTTAAGTATGTGCCTAGGCTTGGTGCTGCAGGAATAGGCCCTTTGGACATTGGTTAGTGAAGACGCCAAACCAGCATGCAACTTAGTTAAGCTGCAGAAAAACAAGGCATGTTTGAGAGCATATCACAGGTGGCCTCTGCACACAGGGAAGAGCTGAGACCAAACAGGGCAAACCAGCATAGCAGCAAACCTGATTAGTCAGCAGGGTTGAAGGCACTTGTTTAGGTGTGACCCCGTTGTTTGCCAATCTTTGGTAGCTACTCATTTAAGTAACTCAGCAACTATTTGTTAAAGCAAGGGATGAGGCAAAGACAGATTAGCAGTAGGAGAACCATGGTACACCTGTCTTTGGACACGCAGAAGGACAAGAAGGGAGGAGGTGGGTTTTGGCAGAGTGTAGCATGGCTGAAACCTAAGAGGCTGGGGAAGTGAAGATGGTTTCAGGGCTCACGTACTAGAATGCCCAGCCGTAGTCCCATGAGTGCGGTCTCCAGTCCTCTGGTCCCAGATTAACTGTTGCCTGGAAGACTTGAGTGTACATCATGTGTGCCACCATCCCAAGGAGACCTGACACAAGAAGACAAGAAAGCAAGGAATTTACAGCGGGAGCCAGAGCTGCATATTTCAGCCTTGTGTGGAAAAGGAGGATCTCCTGCTGCTGTGATTCCAAACCTGCAGTAGCACACTTACCTGACAGCACCGAGGAGACAGCAGCGAAGGCATTGAGCTTCAATCCACAGACAGGATTGCCGGTATGGAGCATTTCCACCATGAGGAGGATGAAGCTGATGAGCAGCAAGCTGATGTACAGCATCTCTGATCCCAGTGACAGCCACAGGATTCCTGCCAGGAACCAGAAACTCCTCACATCAATACAGGATGGCTTGTTCAGGGGAAAGCACTCCCCTTTCCCAGCTCAATCCTGAAAGGATGTCCTTTGGAAAGAAGGGAAAGAAGGAAAACAGCGAACACCCAACAGCAATCCCCCCAGCCTGTGAGCAAGGGCTCAAAGGATGCTGAAGGGGACAGAGAGTCCATCACAGAAGGTGACTTGGCTGGTCTGGCACTGCAAAAGCTGAGAGGAACTAAAACAGCTGTTTGTAAACAAGCCAGCATTAGTCATAAACAGCAACGAAGAAGCCATGGGGGAAAAGGCAGGGGGAAAGCTGCTGAGCACAAGACCTACTGTTCATAGGTTGACCATGAACATATCTGAGCTGGGTGTTAAAATGTTCTTTCCCATCAGTGTAGTGACCTTCACAGTAGGTTTCTAAACACAACAGTGGAAGCAAATGACTTTTAACCTGGGACTCAACTGGTTAAGAGAAGAACTGTATGGTGCATCTGTGGCTAGGACCTGGACTCTGGAATTCAGCAGGTCACTTTTGCAGGCCTGTATTTCTCACTGAAACCTCAGTTAAAATGAAGCTACATTCCTTGGGGCAGATATCAAGCTAGGGCAATAACATTCACCACTCACCTTACTGCTTGAACAGAGTACAA